GCTTGAGCTACTCTTTATATTGCTAATTAGTATTGTGTTGTGTATCATTTAGAAGGTTGTCATATCGTTCCATAACTCAAAATTATGCACCAAGAAAAATTATTATTGACATTCTAAAAATCTAATATTGCGCTCTAAAATATAAAAATACACTTATAAAAATGCATAATTAAATATATATAAAGTACCAATAACACTTCCCTTTTCCAAATATACCAAACTGAAAAGCAATAATGTCTTCAAGTCCGAAACCAAGTAGGACAATACTTTTTTAGAACACAAATTAATTGGACCGCACTCAAGCCTCGAGGAGTTCATGATAATTCTTTTCTTGTAAAGAGTGTAAATTCCACATCGGGAAATTAAGGGACCTTGCAAGTGCAAATAAGGAGTTGAGTTACTACCCATATTGCCAATTAATTTTATAGTTGAACATCAACATCCTTCATGATACAAGAGAAAGTTAACTTTTGTTGAGCCTCACATGTAGCGAATTTTTAAACCTAACACACAAATAACACTAATTGAGTGTCATAGAAAACGTGTGGTCGTTGGGCTTCACACGTGAGTCAACTTGCTTTAAAAACATAAAGGAAGTGAAGTTCCCCTTTAGGTAAAACCAATTAACAATACAGAAAGTAACCCAACTTCTTATAAATCACATGCAAACTTTATTCTCTCCGTAACGTAGAATTCATTACTCTCCACAATTTTAAAAACTTTAGGGTTTGAAAAGTATGTGCTGAAATACTAATAATGTTCACAAGAATAATGTTATTGGCATTATTGAGTAGGTATATGTACTGAAGGTTTTGTAGGGGTGAACCTACTAAGTTTTTGTAATATATACGGGATGTCCCTATGTATTTGGAGTGAACCTACACTTTCGTAGCGTGTCTGGTTTGATGTTTGTGTCCACATTGGGAATTGGCCAGAAACAACGACACCTGCTTTGGCACCTAGCCTTTCTTTCTTTCTTTTTCAAGGGGCATATGCATGATACCCTAATTTTTATTAAAAGGGAAAGAAAACTTGTCTGGTGTCTTCAACTCCTGCAACAGTAAGATTAATTCTCGTTCTTGATTATATGATACGGATAAAAAATGGTTGTGGCAACAGTAAGATTCTTGATCATGATTGATCACACAACTACAAATGGCTGTCAGCTTCATAAGTCTCCTTTGAATTGTTTTCCACCAATACTAAACATTTTATTTACTGTGTGTCTCTAAACCATGATATCGAAAAGAAGAAAATTCTCAATCCAAATGGTAACACAGAACACAAGCCACAAAACCAATTTTTCTATTTTCAATTTCTTCCTTGGCTGACAACGAAAGTGAAATAGGGTTTTACGATATTATAATGATTTTTATTTTTGGACAATGATATTACGTTAAAAGTGAACAACCCCGAAGAATCCAAAGTCATTGCTCGTAAGCAAAAGCAGCAGCTAGCATCCATTCATTTATATTCATCATGCATACTAGAAACTAGTAACTAGCAATGATGTGGATTAAAGAGGCCCACCCTTTCTTTTATAAGAATCTTGCGTAGCAAGGTGCACTAAAGGTCTCACACAATGGAAAACGACCAATCCGTAGTGCGAGATGGGAAGCTACAATAATGGAATATTTGGGAGGGGCCAACTAGCATAAAGTTTCCAAATTTTATGTAATAATATTTTGGTACAACTGAAATGACATGCTATTCAAAATGCATTTTAGATTTTAGAAAGTGAAAATGAGCGACGTGGAGGTTGGGATGGGCTATGACTACCTCAAACCAATTTGTAGCTTCGTCACTAGGTACGTACTAGTTATAAAAACCTAAGTGAGAGACATGAAGGTTTGGGTACCTCAAACCTAAATGTAGCTCCGCCCTTGGATCATATCTCGACCTAAAACTCTGGTTTTTTATTTGTCTGATTACTCAATAACTAAAACTTATATAAGCTTAGCAATCCTAGCTCTATCGAAAAGAAGCTACATAACTAGCATAGTCTTTCCAAAACGTATGCAATGTGTAAGAAGCAACATGGGATTCACCTCAGAACTACGTCTAGCTCCGCCCCCCATCCATGTCTCATTATCTATCAACAAGTTTAAAACATGATCTTAGTAACCCTGTCACTACAACACTATCATTGAATTGAAAATCATATTAAAATTAGTCTATTCGGTAAGCCATTTGTTGATGCACAAAATCGGCGAGGACTTTGGTACAACAGAAAGTGTCAAGTTTGTGACCTTCGCTAGGTTGCTCTGGTCATTAGTGTGGATAAGTATGTAAATGAATAGAGACAGGGAAGCAAATAACACAAGATGTACGTGGTTCACCCAGATTGGCTACATCCACAGAGTAGAGGAGTTCTCATTAGTTGTGAAGGGTTTACACAAATACATAGGTTCAAGCTCTCTTTTTGTGAGTTCTAGTGAATAGTTTAGTACAAATGACATTAGGGATTATTGTGGGAGAATGATCCCCTTTTATAGAAGAGAGTTTCTAGTTTTGTTGTGACATTGACACGTGTCGTGTTGTGATTGACCTCTGATATCGACACGTGTTGCGCTGTGATTGGCCTCTGATTCCGACACGTGTCGCGTTGTGATTAGCCTCCTAGTTGGAGGAAAAGTCTTGTGGGTCCTTGACGATATATTGTTGACCGGTGCTTAGTAGTTTTGGGATTGGTCAAGTATGATACAAACACCATTAATTATTAGGAGAAAAACGTTGCATCAATGATTGCAATGGAGAACATTTTCTAGGGTTTCTTGGAAATCCATTACCTATGCAAAGGTTTAGGTTATAACGTCAACCATGGCTCCTGTAATTATAGAAACTCTAACCCATCCCACTTGCCAACGGAATTGGGCAATTCAATCCAACAAAACTCAGAAAACCCTCTCCATCCTAACCTAAAAAGTCAGCCAGCCTGCGGGCCCAAGCATTCTGGACCAAGCAATCGGGCAATTCATGTCGTGTGTGCGACTGATTCTATATTACGTAGCATCCCTAATGAAGATTTTATCCTCCATGAGACTACTATATTTTCAACTTTAGCGAGAAATTTTATCCCCAACGAGCCGAAAAATAGGGCTAGATCCACTACTAGGGCTAGTAACTTCCTTTCTTGGGTAACATAAAATCAGGCTACATCTAGCCCCAAAAAATAGTGGGTCCTACAAAAAAAGTAGCAACCCATGTGAACAAAATTTTATTAATCTCCCTCCACTTGCGAATACACTTATACTCTCCTTTTATTATTACTTTAATTCTTTTTTCTTACTTATTTTTCTTGCAATTTGGCTAATTAATGATTGTTTTAAATTCCATAAGAATTAAAATTTCAAATTGATTTAACGTTCATGGGCATTGATGGGTGAAATTTTCAAATAATTTTTTTTCAAAATTGTATGATCCTAATTTACCAATTGGTGCTAGGTAAATTGTTGTATTATACATGAAAATCTAATTATTTCAGAGGGCAAAGTGAGGTTTGTTTGTTTCAACGGATGAGTTTGAGATAAGAGAATCTAATCTAATGAACGATTCATAAGTAATGAAATCTAACTTTGTCACAATTTGAACTTTTTAGGTTGAAGGGTTCATAAAAAATAAATAAATAAATAAGATAGCACGTCCAAAAATCAACTTAAGAAAAACTAACACAAAAAAAAAAAAAATTCAATGCTTAATCAAATTACTATATAAATATATATAGCCCCTTATTGGGAGAGATTCTTTTATAAAGCCCCAAAGATTCCTTGGAGCTCTAAAATGGGCTATATCCACCACTTTTACAGTCTCATATAGAACCCTTCCTAGAGATATTCTAAGGCTGACGTCAATCACGTTATTATCTTTTTGTGTCAGACATGTGCACTTGAGTCGCGCTTGACGACGAGCCAAGCGATCAACACACAAACGTTGGGGTTGTGTTGCATGCAAACTCACCCCATCCTCCGTTAGATTTGCAACGGCTATCTACCCTACCCTCCATCTTTTTCTGACAAAAAAATTTAAATTAAATAAAATAAAATTTTGGTAAAATCCCTTATTACCATTGGGCCTACATGCACAGCATGGACTGTTGGGATTTTTTTTTTTAAAAAAAAAATTGTAATCCAAAGGGTCTATATTAATTAGTTTAAATAAATATTAAAATTATAAAAAAAATTAATAATTACTTGATCATAACATATGGCGTTTTGTGATTAGTGATAATAATACGTGGCTTGAGATAATTAGTTAAATTGCATTTGAGTAATTACTAGTTAGACAATAATTTTCTATACCCAATTATCAAGGCAATTATTACCTCAATGGAATAGAATTGCTCCTGGAGAGGACGTAATCATTTTCCACAGGGCACACTACTCAGATTACGATGTAATTGCATACGTGGTACATATATGGAGACGGCAAGGACAGGTGCTACTAAACCGGGGTCCGGTCGCAATCGGTGTCGCGTCCGGGCAGAAAAGGAAATGGGAACGGTCTCTGACAACGACTGTCGGCATTTCAGTAGGTATCCACGTGTACAGATGTCACTCACCCCGGGTAAATACATAGGTCCGACTAGAGATTGTAAATTTGGATGGGACTGTATTGTACCGGGCCTCCCATGACAACGATTGTATATGACAGACGTTGGATGGTCGTAGGGTGCGATATTAGCTGTGGCAAAACCCTAATAAAAGCGGCTATCATCCCTCTGGTTCCGAATACAATCTCTTTCTGTTTTAAATAGTCCGTGTTTTTTTAAAGTAGAATTAATCAATTGTTCTCTTTTCATTCAATCGAATGTCTTTAATTTCATCGATTTTGTACGTCTTTTCATTTTCTTTCAAAAAAAAAAAGGAAAGGAGAAGGATTTTCTTCAGTGGATCCCTCTTGTTTCTGTTTTCGTTTAAGCATTGGGAACAACTTTTGCTCATGTGTTTCATTCAAAAAACGGTATTGCCTATCGTCTAGCTCGTTTTGCCCTCATTCTGGTTGTTTTTGTAATTAATTTGAGAATCCTTCTGACTTAATGTCATATTTACTTGTTGAAGATTGTACGGTTAATTGGTTAGTAGCTAGAGGCTACTCTGTTTGCTTGTTGTGAACTATTTGTTTCGCTTATTCAATGAAAGCCATCAAGGAACTTTAAAAAACAAAGTCGTGACGAATGGAAGAACACCATTATAGCAATATAATATAATCACTAGTAGAAAAAAGCTCATCTACCACGGTGGATGTTCGTGATAAATTGTAATCTACCACAAATATCGTGTCCGTTAGTATTCTGGATGTGATAAAAGTCTTCATTTCTACCACAGGCTATGCCCGTTGTCAAATGCAATGTAACCACGGATTGTGCATGTGGTAGATTGGGATCTAATACCACGTGTTATGGTCATTGTGGATTACAAATTGATCACGGCTATAGCCTGTTGTACAAAAATTTTCAAAAAAAAAAAAAAAATTTAATCAATAAACAAATAAAAAATATATATATATATAAAGATATTTATTTACAAAATTGCATATTTACTTTATAAAAATTCACATATTCAAATATTTTAGTAAAAGCTAACAACAAAATGAGTAGTTAAATTAAGAATACCAAATCACTGAGTTATGCTACAGTTGTGTACCTAAACATGTAGACTTTGTTTCACTCTAAAACAAACTCAAGTCCTAGTTCCAACCTTGGTCCTCCAATGATATTCATCTTCTCTGCAACCCTTTCTTCAAGAAAACACACATCTCCAGCAAGCCAATCACACTTCAAATTTGCAGGTGCCTAAACGTATTAGTTGATATTTGAATTATAAACGCTCATGAATTAGAACCACCAACCACCTATGAGACAAACAAGGAAAAATATAAAGCTTAGAAATCAAAACTCATCACTTAAGGACATCATATACAAAATAATTCAAATTCACAAAGTCAATTGGACAAAAGGCAAGTAATCATGATCCAAGTGAGTACACGGTGCATGCCAAAAAAGTACCTAAGACACCTCATGTGTTAGTATCGAGCATATGAAGATCAATGTGCATGTCTTCCTTGATGTGTGTGTGAGAGAGAGCGAGAGAGGAGAGAGGAGATTTTTTCACGGGGCTTACATTATAGTAATTAAGTAGTCACCATTTACCATACTATGTTCTTAGAGGTCAAGACAATAGTTCACCAAACCTTGCAATCAAAATTTTCAATTCTTGGCATCTGTTGAAAGACCGTGAACCTTCAGTGTGTATTGCAGAGCAAACCCCACTCTTCCATTGACTTAGCATAGTTGTAACTGGTAAGTAATCTCTAGCAGCACCTGAAATTATAAGGACCAAAGAGTCAAGGAACATTGAAACTTCATTTAGCATTAGATACAGTACATATTAACTCTTGTTCAACATCTAGCAAAGGAATCATCTTTAATTCTCCTTTTCTAGATAACACTTAGGTAGTCAACTCGTCATGTACGCCATGATAGAAATATCATTTACTACAGTTCAAACAAGAAAGATAGCAATACCTATGACAACTCTTCCAACCAAAACCTTTCTTTGCAACATGAACCTGGAATTCAATGTGGCAGTATAACAAAACATAAAGAAACTTACACCACGTGTAGCAAACTCTCGAGTTTGTTCTTTTACTCTTATAATTCAAACATAATTATGCAGGAACACTAAACTCCCATTATGCAATTAGTTTAAATCAATGCCCCAAAATTAATTTCATCACAATTCATTAGACAACGATAAATTAATCCCATCCAATTTAGGAACCCAACAATTTTCTTCATCATTTCAACAAGTTACCATAACCAGAAACTTAAAACAATAAAATAAAAAAGATGAAGCTTAATTACCCTAAGTGAAAAGCAACCCATATGAGGCAGCAGAGGTGGTGTGCTCGCGATCGCAAACAATGTACAACCACCACCAATTAGCCCCCGCCGTGCACCCAAAAAGCTCTGAAGAGCTGCTTCTGGATCCTTAACTGCTGCTCCTTCCCATTCCGACCTGTCTGCTTGGACTTGCAATATCCTCACATATAAATCGCCCTCTTCGTCAGAATGCTCACCTGACGGTTGCGACTCAGAAACTCATCAATGTCAATTTCCATAAATTCCCTTCACAAACTGAACCACAAAGTTGCAAGTCAACGAATTTGACAAAAAATTAACAAATTTTAATCCAATTGAAGGAGAAAGTTGGGAGCTTTAAAAAATGGATTCTTTATTTGGTTACCGGGGAAATGGAATAGTGGTGAATTGGGATTTTATCGGCAGCCAAACTGAGGGGAGAGAGAGAGAGAGAGAGATAGAGAGCAGTGGAGATACCTGAGGACTCAAGGTGGACGAGGAAAAAAGGAGAAAACTGAAAAATGATGCTTGTTAGTGAAATGTTAAGAGAGAAGAGAGTGACATAGATCGGTTTAATTTCTCACGATTTAGGGAAGGGGAGTTTTGCGGTTACTAGCTGATGGGATGAGATAAACCATTAAATGAAATTTGAGAAGTGTGCGTGAGTGTTGTGAAATTTTCAAATTTCAAAGATGTTTGAAATTTTGCAAAATTCTTGTCCCACCTCTACTATATTTTGTTAGTTAAGTGTGTGTGATTCCACCACATATTATGTCCGTGATATATAACAAAAAAACGATGTGGGGGTTAACAATAATAACCACAAGCATTGTCTAAGGTGGTTTTAGTATATTTATAACCTGCAATTTTGCGTGTGGTCATTCATTACTATTTTACAACAAGCTAAGATTTGTCCATGATAAAATATTGTTATTACTACGTGCTCATTATGCCCGTGGTAAATTTGTACTTTTTATAACAAGCTAATAAAGTCCGTGATAAAATTATCGTGGTAGATGAGCTGTTGTGTTGTAGTGTTTCCAAAAAAAGAAAAAAATCAATAGTATAATTGTTGTAATTCAGATGAATGAAAGGAGGCAACTAGTGATAAGACAATGTCAAAACATTTAGGTGTAGGTCCAAATTTTAACTGTACAAAATTATATATATATTGCTTCTCTAATGGCATCTGTGTCAGATCCCGACCAGGGGGGACCACCTCCCGGGCTCGCTCCACCACCGTAGCACGATATTGTTCGCTTTGGGCCTCGACCACGCCCTCATGGTTTTGTTTCTGGGAACTCATACGAGAACTTCCCGATGGGTCCACCATCCTGGGAATGCTCTCGCGCGTTACTCGCTTAACTTCGGAGTTCCAACGGAACCCGAAGCCAGTGAGCTCCCAAAAGGCCTCGTGCTAAGTAGGAATGGGAATATACATATAAGGATCACTCCCCTGGGCGATGTGGGATGTCACAATCCACCCCCCCTTAGGGGCCCGACGTCCTCATCGGCACATCACGGCCAGGGTTAGGCTCTGATACCAAATTGTCACATCCCGACCCGGACGGGACCACTTCCCAGGCCCGACTCCACCGTAGCGCGATATTGTCCACTTTGGGCCCCAACCATGCCCTCACGGTTTTGTTTTTGGGAACTCACACGAGAACTTCCCGATAGGTCACCCATCCTGGGAATGCTCTCGCACGCTACTCGCTTTACTTCGGAGTTCCAACGGAACCCAAAGCCAGTGAGCTCCCAAAATGCCTCGTGCTAGGTAGGGATGGAAATATACATATAAGGATCACTCTCCTGGACGATATGGGATGTCACAATCTGCACATCTGGAAAGATGTCCTTAGTTCACTTCGTTTGGAATATTTCATGAAGCCATGAGACAGTACAAATAACTGAAGTTCGTTGTGCTGAAGTATACATTAATAAAGGAAAATCTTAGAAAGATTACATTGTACATGAATCTACTTGAGTTATTAGCGTAGTTGTGAGGATGGATAAGATGACGAGTAAAAGTAGATTAAGTTTAGACTTCAAAACTCTCTAATTTTATTGAAAACAAATGTGTATATATCATACCAATTAATTAAGGATTTTAGCTTGATTATATGCATGACTTACCACATTGAGTAGTATTCAAATGTGACACATAAATGTATTACCATTACTCTGTATTAGAGCGTCTTCAAGAGATGCTGTAAAACAATCAAAACTCTATTTTAAGGAGCCAAACCTATAAAATACATCACCAACAGTCTATAAAAGAGTCTCTATTATATTAAAATAAACAGTCACACTTTAAATTTACAGAATCACTTTATCCGTTAAATATTTAAAAAATAATAAAACTTAAGGGTGGACCCTTGAACAAGGTGAAAAGGAAGAGAATAAAAGGATGTTATTTAAAAAAATGAGTAGGTTGAGTTTGAATTATTAATAATAAAATATTTAAATATTTTTTAAAATAGAAAGTGTTGTTGACAATGAAAAATTAAAATGAGTAGTTAAAATAATTTTTGACACTTTTCACTTGCTAGTTTAACAAAAATTTAGAACTTTTTTTTACAAATGGTGTTAGGGTTTAGTCCTCGAACTGCTTCAGCAACCTGCGCGCGCTCCCTTGCTCAGAGCGAATAGAGCTTTTGAGGCAACCATTATGCATGGCTAACTAAAATTGTTGCTGTTACGGTCGACGTTGGCAAAATTAATCTACATTAAATCAGATTCATTGTGAATACAAAACAAAGATTTTCTTTTTGGTTGAAACAAATAAAGCAAGAATTGACGGTGACCCATTTCCTGATCTTCTACGCAAGCAAAGTGCTGCCACACCATGAATGTTCTTGTGACAAGTTGTTAATTTGAATATGTTATCCGTCATTCAATATAATATAATATTGTTGCATAACAATAGAGCGAGGTCCACGTAACATATGTAATATTGTTTCATTTATTTCGTAAATCAATTTCAATCTTTTCCAAATTTTAACACGATGAATAAATTTCCCACGACAAACTAAAACTCTAGAACGTTTAGTCCACGAAAGATATTGGTAAATATTACTAAACCCATCCACATGTTTTTTAAACTTCCGTCGCCGAGTAGAAGATCTCTGTTAAAGTTAATCAAACAAAAGAATATTTAGCAATTAATTTGCAAGCGGGACGGTGTGATAAGTCTGAACTCTACTTCTTGTAATACAACCCCGTTGATCCTTTTTGGGTTTATCTACCCCACTTATCTGATCAAGTGAACACTTCACATGAATGGCTATCTAACGTAATGATGCGATGCAGGGTAAGAAAAGAAAAGGGTAATTCGATTAAGGTCACAATTTTTTTTTATAGGATTAGGCCAGTTGATTTTTTATTTTTTATTTTTAAATAAGAGGCCAATAAAGACAGTGGCATTGACTTTAGTTAGAGAGGAAAGTTGTTTTTGTTGATCTTAGTTAAAGAGAAAAATCGTTTCAATTGACCTATGCTAGATAATAAAATGACCATTGTACAAAATTTTACGTACAAAGTTAAATTAAGGACACATTTGATAACCAATTCAGTATTTAGTTTAAAAAAAATTGAAATTGAAAATCAAAATCAATACTTTTTTTCTGACTCAGAAAATTTTTGAAAAGACACAAAATGAACTTTTAGTTTTTTAGAACTAAAATCAGTTATCAAACAAAACTTTGATTTTTTTTTTTTAAAAAGGTGAAAACATAAATTGAAAATAGCCCCCAAATTAATTAACTATCCATTTTAACAAAGCTCAAAAATAATGTCAAGATATTGTCGGAGATAGATTAGTGGAATATGTTTTAAATAATTATGTTCATTGGATGGATGCTTATCAGTATACAAAATCATTGGCTTTGTTCTCAAGATTGCGACTAACCAGGAGATATCTTGAATCCCTAGTGAAAACAAGAAATTGTTCATCACCGTGTGAAAGCAAAGCCGAAGAACTAGGCCAAGAAATTTGGGGTCTAATGGCTTATGTTCAAACTCATGCAAATTTATAACAACAATTTTAAATTTTCTCTCGTCGGCATGGAAAATATCCAGAAATGATTTGAGAGTGAGACCTCCAAATATGGGACATACTAAAAAGCTCCTCTTAACTTGTAGCTAATGGAGGTATATATCTAATTGTCCCATCGAATGTGTAAGAAAACAACCAGGGGCGGTGCCACCAAGGAATTAGGGTAGTCCTAGGCCCATCCTGACTTCTATGAAAAATGTATGAAATCAACCAATGACCTCAAGTTTTTATTTGCAGAGGTGTGAACCTCATGGAAGAAGATGAAGCAAACGACGTCATTAGGCTGCTTTGGTTTTGAATTTGTTTGACTGTTTAATGAAACGATGAGTGGTAGGGGAGTTTTTAGAAGAGACGTGCAATTTCCTTTTAAATGGAAAAAAGCAACCCCACTACTGGTTTGATTCTCTCAGCTAACGGTACCATACACCCTATAATTTTCTAAAGCAACCCCCCTTTTTCCTTATTTGCAGACCTCTTCCCCTAATCCTTATTTTTATACTTCTTTGTATTTTCTTTAGCCTTCCACAGTCTACCTCTTACTTGGTTATCTAGGTTTGTACATATTTTTCTTCTTAGTATTGAATTTAATAGAGGTTTTCAGTTTTGTGAAGATTACACAAATTGCATATATTAACATGTTATGAATTTAACTTTTACACACATGCATATATATATATATATATATATATATATATGTATATGTATATATATTTGTGAAAGGCTCATCCACACTCAAAATTCTAGCTCCGCCACTGAAAACAACAGTCCACTCGTTAGTAATTCACCGTATACAAATTATTATAACCAAAACTTAGATCATCTCTGGCAAAAGAAAAAAATAAGAATAATTTAATATATCATTTGGTCATCTATATATCAAATAAATTGACAGTTTAAAAATGACATCAACTACAATTAGTGCTATGAGTGCAAATTTTGTATAAAACTATGAACTCTCTATAGTTCCACGCACACACCTCTTTTCTCCTAATAACACATTATTTATGAAAGATGCATGATGACATTATTACTTCCATTGCAAACGCTCAGTTTAGTGAGAGATATGTTTATCTTTTTTCTCGTGACAATATATATTTAATGTTAAGAACATTTCACATTTCACTCGAGTTTGAGTTTTACTCCCTATATTATTAATTACTTGTGTAAAAAATATTATTTCAAATTAAATAGACTAATGACAGTAATTCCTAATAACAAAGAATAACACTACTTCTATATTTTGTGTTATTTTTTAAGTTTTATAATTAGAGAGAAGTTTTATTTTTTAAGTTGTTAATTTTTTAACACAAGTATCTCAGTGACACGTAGTGTACCATCTCGTGTTCCGAGCACAATGAAAAATCTCTATGTTCTGATCACAATCCTAA